TGTTCAGTTTCAGCCCTGAGCAGCAGGTCAACATGTAACTGGGTGAGGGGGAATCTGATAGGGTTAGGACATACCAGGTGAGAAAGACACCGCACCGCAGCCCGCAGAAGACTACGTACGCACGCCATGAGCGGGTCTTCTTTTTCTTGTTTTTTTTTGGCCCCCCCGCTGAACGACATGGACATGTCCACCAGAGATTCCTTGAGTCGCGTTGCCGGCGGCGGACCTGGAAACAAGGCATCAGTACAATACTTCGGCCGGAAGAGAGGGGATACCATTCGGGGGTGTACCCGTGCCTCGTGGGAGATTCATAGTAGTATATGCTAGAAGTACCCGGAGACTCAGGAATGACTGGTTGCGGTCGAAAGGTGGGACGAGTAGTATAGGAAGGAGGAGCCTGCGGAGGAGTCTGCCGCAACGAGGCGGTGGGCAGATTCAAGTCCGAGTCCGGTCCCGCTAGATCGAGAGCAGCAAGGAGATTGAGGAATTCCTCATCGGCGTACTCGTCAGAGGTGTCCTGCGTCATGGAGGGGACGAGGAACGAAGAGGGTGGGTACCAGGAAAAGTGGGAAAGACTGAGACTTTGAAGGAGGTACGACTCTCACGGCACATGGCATCAGATCAGAATCAGACGGTGAACCCTGGCGAAATAATGACCGAAGGGACATGTCTGCAGCTACTGAGCAAGCACGATCTGGAGATCTGGTGGATCTAAGGAGATCTCAAGTATGCCGTTACGTAGGTAGATCCACCCCTTTTGGGGTTGATCCGTGTATTCTGCTGCCGTCAAATTGGCCAGTGATACGCCACATCAAAAATGAATTTCTCATCTTAAACTACGCGACAAAAATATATCCAAGTTACGCGATGGAAAAACTAAAATACGTGACGGAGTCAATGAGAGCGAGCCTGAAATTGATGAGTCCAGAGAAAGTGAAAAAGAACATATATGAGAACTTACAATCTCACTGGTGAAGAACTGCGACCATATTGTAGGCGAGCATTTCGTTGAATGCAGCGGCGGCCAGGGCTTGAGTGGCATGGCCCTTCATGCCGCTACGAGAGACTCCGGAAACCGCGTTGACCGCCAGAGAGTTGTTGAGGGTCACACCGACGTAGAGGCCGCGGGTAATTGCGTACCATTGCTTCTCCTCGCCTTCAATGGCGTCGGGCTCCGCGATGAGCAAAAGGGGCCCGGAAGGAACAACGGTATACAAGGCACCAACGACCCAAGGGCCATGGGAGCGGAATCCAACGGGGGCGGGAGGAGCCACGGTCGGGGCTGAGGTTGGAGCGACCGGGGCCGGAGTCGAGACGACAGGCAGTGGGGCCGCCTGAACTGGAGCTTGCAAGGGCGGCGAGCCTGTGGAGTTAAGGTCAGATTAGGTGAGGGAAAGTAACCAAGAATCACCTTGGGCCTGCTGGAGCGCCGCCATCGCGACCCACATGCTCTGCATGGCAGCAACGGTGTTCGCTAGAAGATACAGGTTAGGAAGGCGTAAGTAACAATAGTATAGGCGTACGGTCGCTGCCTGGGGGGATGACAAAATGGAGGCCCGCTGCGGGAACAGAGGTCTCTGTTCCTGAAGTGGTGGGAGCGAAGTTGGTCATGGTGGTGAAAAAGTTGGGGGTTGGGGAAATGGGGCGACGCAAGGACGGAATTTGTAGGTCGGAGAGTATTGGAACTCCGCCGTGATGGTCGCATGGGACGCGTGTTAGGCCTAATAGGATCGCAGGATCGGGATCTGGAGAGTTAATAACTTAACCAGAAATAATAAGTGAATAAATAAAGAAATTCTATCCTGTTCGTTGGCACACCAGCCCAAACAAAAGTCTCCTGATCTCGTTACATCTTCTCAGAAGAACTCAAGAGGTGAGTCGCCCCCCAGCGGTTCAAGGAAAATGCGGTAGAGTCTGAATCCAGCAATCCAGTGATGGCGAAGTTGTCCAAGAAGCGCGAGCGGCAGCGCGTCCCCAAAGAAAATAAAAAAAATTTGCGTTTATGGGCACAGGGAGTACGAGAAACCATCCTTGCACCTCACCTAGACGACTACGGCGCCGCGCTTGACAAGGGATGGCGACAGGAGCGAAAATACTGGAAACAAGTCTGTAAAGAGTATCACGCTCGCATTGATTGGAGAACACAAGACCACGAGGAGCCAATCTTGACTGACTGGGATCCAGCAGCTGTGGTGCCGAGGGAAACGTTGTCGCCGGAGGACGAGGAGCTGAAGAACCGCGCGTCAAGTTGCTCAATAAGGTAAAGTCACACCAGTCACATTCACATTCTGTGACTGCGAGCTCACCGTCGACAGCGAATCCGTCGATGGTTTACCTATCGTATCCGCCGCATCCGTAAACATCGCAGCACGGCGGGCCTAGACCCCACCCGAGACCCCTACGCAGTCCTTCTTGCCAAACTGTCAGGACTTTCAGCACCCCCGAAAGCGCGCCAAGCATATCAACAATTTATGCATGAATCCTACGCCGACAGGGTCGCCCCCATAGTTGCCTCGCGGTGGGAAGCAGATCGCGCTGCGAATGGTGCTGCGTCAGAGCGGACCAAAGACCCCAAAGCTGGCTTTCGCGCTCAGGTAGCTAGGGAAGTTTTCGCTGCGTTGCCGTTAGATGAGCAGAAGGAGATCGGTGCGAGGGCTAAGATCGAGGCTCAGGCAGCGAAGGAAGCATACGTCAAAACCCTGAAGGAGCCGCCTTCCCAAACCCCTGAGGCACGTCAACAGTGAGTCTTTTTTTCTTATTATTTTCGCGACGACCGCTGATGACAGTGCAGCTGTATTACAGCGGCCGCTGACTTTGTCGCACCAATTCTGCAGGGCCTGCACGCCTACACCGGAATGCATGCCACCCTTATCCTTGGTGGGCCGGTTCCAGCTTATGGAGGCGAGCTTCGTTCATTACAGTACGTGCATCACGGTTTTACAGAATGTGTATACTAAGGATTCACCGTAGCTTCTCCTATGGGCGGAATAATACAGCATTGGCCCACCACTGGGCACAATGGGATAAACAGCGCTTCACTAGGGATGTCCAGGAATTCATGGTCGAATATCTAAAAACCGCATTCAGTACGTTTGGGCTCACTTCATTATCAAATCAGCTAACGTTGATAATAATAAAACAGCCCCCCAGGACTGCCTGGACGCTGCCCTCCCCAACACTACTGACTTGGGCGCCGCTAAATACAAGATCAATAACTGTAGAGATTTTGATTCGGATTCGGATGACGAATCAGACTCGGATTCGGACTCTGATTCGGATTCAGACAGCCATATGAGTGTTGACGAGGAGGAGACTGCGCGCATTCGGAAGAAGCGGAAGCTAGGAGATGGAGAAATCGCAAAGTGGGCGAGCAAGAGATCTAGCGAAAAGCCGAAGCAAACGACCAAAAAGAAAACGACCACCAAGAAATCGCGTGGTGCTACATCCACCCAGCCTCCCCTCTCCACGACCACAGATGCCCCGACTACCGTTAGTTTGACTCCGACGTCGTCAACTCCATCTCGAGCGTCACCTATCCCCACCACACCTCCAGTCTCGAATCCGTGCGAAGCGCCGCCCGCCGCCACTGCGCCTCCCGTCTGGGCTCCATCTCAGCCTCCCGCATCGACGCCGTCTCAGCCTCCGCTCGCTGCCACCGAGCCTCTCGCCTCGACAGTCAGCGACAGCAGCGGTGGGAACGAGCCTAACGAAGATGACGAGTCAGAGGTGGAGGAGGAACAGGAGGAGGTACCACCGCATATGCCTTGGCACATTTCGCGGGAGGAGCGCGACGCCAATATCCGGCGGAACACCGCCGCATTGGAAGTGCTTAGGGCGGAGTGGAGGGCCGTTACCGAACCGCTGACACAGCAGCGGTCGACGCAACCCAAACCACGGAAGATTACCACCAATGTGGGTCCAGTCCGTAGGTCCGCTCGCCATGCAGGAGATGGGGTGGGTGCTGGGGAGGTTGACATGGAGGCAAATACCCCGAACCCCGAGGCTCCTGGTGCATCGGCTTCGGCTACCGTCCCACCTCCCAGAATGCACCGCCTTCGTCACCATCAGCACCCCCGCTCACCTCGTCAACTCACGGCACGTCTTCGACGATGGCCCCATCGCACCTACTTCCGTCCATGTCGCCTCCACCAGCCTCGCCTCCTGTGGAGTCGTTGACGCCCACCAGCAGCGCGCTGCCCCTGGTATCCGAAGGTGGCTCTGAAGTGCAGGTTACGCTGGCGCCGCTGTCGCATGCGGCGCAAGTCCACGTTGCCATGACAGCGACAGCGCCAAGCACGCCGGGCAGTGCACTGGCAGGTTTGTCACCGTGCCCGCCCGATGCTGCCGATTGGTTTGCCAACGCACACACCGAGATTACGCGCGTCGATCTTGGGTGTCACTATCACGCGCTGGTCGCCGCCTGGACGCGTGTCGAGTACGCGTCACGTTTCGAGCACGGGCCGACGAATCTACCCAGCAAACACCGCCCCGAGCATGTGTCAACTTGGATCTCGAAGAACCAGCGGGGGAAACGAGGACTAGAACCGATGGTGACGGACCTGCGCGCATATGCTGCGCAGTGGCAGCAGTGGTGGGATTCCCTGCAGCCGCGCTGGAGGAAAAAGGGAACGGACGGGAGGTGGAGCATTGAGGGCTATGGCGAAGCAGGGAGGGAATGGGGTCCGCTTTATCAGTGGGGAGTCAACGGTACGCTAAGTATTCTTGCTTCACTTTATTTCTGGGGTCGTGCGGTGTCCGGCGGCGAACAATCGGAGTTGCAAGTTTGGGAGGCGGCTGTCCTCGACGTGACTTGGATGATGGAAGGGATGGCGGCCTATTATGAACTATTCAAACGTCGATTCTAATACAGTTTTTCTCTTGTTTCTGCGCGGTACTATTGGACATTACATTTCACCAGTTGTCTTTTGTATGGGTGATCATATTTTACATCTACTTATAAGTAAGATAGATCTCCTAGAACAGACAGCAAGTAGGAAAATGTCATTATGGCCGAACGGTTACGGCGTCCCAGCTATATAGGGGAAACATGAGCACTAATGGGAAGGTCTCGGTTCGAATCCGAGTGATGACATCTCTGGCATTTTTACGGGTTTTGGATCAATCTCCTTTTTTTCTGCGCTTTCAGAGGTGTTGGCATCGGACCCTTATCCCATGGACTGATTATTATTATTTTGGTCTTTTAGACTCGCAATTTATTACACCGTCTTTTGTTTTCTTTATCATACTTGCAAATCTTAAAATAATGTTGCTGTTAAATTGTGCAGGAATCAAGCTCGTAAGCGCCAAACAGCTTTCGTCATCTGATGGTTGCATTCGTGGATTTGCGGAACCACAGCCATATTATGACATCACTGCTGCACTGAAATTGTCCCAAATGTCCCAAATGTCCCAATATGTCCCGGCTTATTTGTCGGTGGTGCTAATTGGCAGCAAATTCGGCCCACACTGTTTTATTACAGTGTACACGTGTTACGCAGGCCATCAACGGCACCCGCCCGGCATTATATATATATATGTTTTCGTTTCTTGTATCCTCCTTTGATTTCTGTTGCCTTGTTTTTACCTCATTACGTATTCATCCATTCCAGATAGAATTCAATGCATTGGGTTCATACTAGTACCAGTGGCCTATCCACGCCTGAACTAAGACATTGGCAGTAGAAAGTACGGTGCACAGACAGCACGTGGGCGTGTATCCGGGGCGGAAGCGAGGTTACGGACGTATGTGAGCTTGGCTGATGGCCTCTTCAGCCGAATGATGGTGCCGTGGCTTGCCGAGGTTTCGTTTTCGTTTCTCGTTTACACCGCTTTCTTACTAGTTTGTTTTGGAATCTTACATCGTTTTATTGCGAAAACCCAAAAATACCAAAGGAAAGCTAAGAATGGCACCAACTTTTCGTCTTCCGGATTAGGTTGTCGAATTCTTTCAACGTGTTCTTGGCGTTCGAGAAGAGAATGGCGAAGTCTGGAGTAATTCCCTAAGCCTTTCAATCACCCGTTCACCATTTTAACCTCCACATCTAGGCCATTGGACAAAGGTTGGTTCCTTGCGAACCTGAAAGTCGATGGCGGTCTGGATGAATTTTGAAGACCTAGATTTCGACAAGGCAAACGAAATTCTCTTCCGCCTTGGAATAATATACAAGCAACAAAACAAATACGAAGACTCGCGCCAGTGCTTCAACCCGCATTCTCCGCAATCCCCCGAGCCCGCTCGCACATGCCGACATTTGGTTCCAAATCGGCCACGTTTACGAACAACAAACAGAAAGATGTATGTCACCGTTCTTTGTTCTGATGTGATCCTGTCCGTCAGCATGTCAGCATGTCAGCGCCAAGAATGCGTACGAACGTGTACCGACAACCCAAGTCACGGCAAAGTGCTTCAACGGCTTGGGTGGCTGTCCTGATATCAAGACGGCTCGTCCTTCCAGAACCAAGACCTCGCCATCCAATACCTCACCGAGAACTTGGAAGCTGGTACGCCCAACTGTTCTTTTCCTCGCGCGTCTATACATAATAATAACTTTAAATCCTTCCGATGCTCAGAGTTGGTACCTTCTTGGACGCGCTTACATGGCCGGCCAGAAGTACAACAAGGCGTGTGATGCATATCAGCAGGCGGTTTATCGCGATGGCCGCAACCCAATGTTCTGGTCCTCCATTGGCGTCTTATACTTCAGATCAGCCAATACCGCGACGCGCTTGACGCATACTCTCGCGCGATCCGCATCAACCGGGACATCTCGGAAGTCTGGTTCGACCTCGAGAGTCTCTGTGAGAGCTGTAACAACCTTAGGAGCTCAGGATAAATTGTCACAGTAGTATGTTAAAAATGAACATAGGCAAACAATGCGTTATTCAGGCGGGACGAGCCAGAATGTAAATCTGAACAAAAATCAATATTAAACCCACAAGGGGAAAAAAGAAATATATGCAATGGCATCGAAGGCAAACACATATCAGCACCGCGTCGGTGATGGGAGGGCGGGTGCAATAATGCACGCGAGAAAGGGCGCGGGGATGGTCGGGTGGCCGGGTGGAAGCGGACGGAATGCTGGGTGGGCGGGTGCAATAGTGCACGCGAGAAAGGGCGGGGATGGTCGGGTGGCTGGGTGGAAGCAGACGGAATGATGGGTGGGCGGGTGCAATAATGCACGCGAGAAAGGGCGGGAATGGTCGGGTAGCAGGGTGGAAGCGGACGAAATGATGGGTGGGCGGGTGCAATAATGCACGCGAGGAAGGGCGGGAATGGTCGGGTAGCAGGGTGGAAGCGGACCAAATGATGGGTGGGCGGGTGCAATAATGCACGCGAGAAAGGGCGGGGATGGTCGGGTGGTCGGGTGGAAGCGGACAAAAGGCTGGGTGGGCGGGTGCAATAATGCACGCGAGGAAGGGCGGGAATGGTCGGGTAGCCGGGTGGAAGCGGACGAAATGATGGGCGGGCGGGTGCAATAATGCACGCGAGAAAGGGTGGGGATGGTCGGGTGGTCGGGTGGAAGCGGACGGAAGGCTGGGTAGGCGGGTGCAATAGTGCACGCGAGAAAGGGCGGGGATGGTCGGGTGTCGGGTGTAAGCGCACAGAATGATGCGAGGACGGATGCAATAATGCACGCGAGAAAGGGCGGGAATGATCGGGTGGGTGTAAACGCACGGAATGATGCACGGATAGGACGGATGCAATAATGCACCAAGCGGATGAAGTGATGACGGATGCAATTGTTCCCGCATTTGGAGGCAAGAAGCGTGAGAATATGGCGGAGGGTCCAAAAACGGCCCCATCAATATCAACAATTTCAACAGATCATTTGGTCAAAGGATTTATTGCATCCATCAGACCAAATAGATTTTATTGCATCCATCAGATGCCAAATACATCTCGTACCCCCCCAAATGCCCCCAAAAGGACCGCCCGCAGCCGCTTTTCTACGTACATGACACTAGCCAACTGCTTGGCCAGCGTCGTGGATTTAGACAACACTTCCTATGGCTAGGGCCATGGGATTTAGTCTATATATTAGGGCTATGGCTCTGAGGCTGGCATAGTATGTTGATATTTTCCAACTAGTATGCACACACTGATAATCTTGCAAATAGGTGGCTGGGACGCTGGAAGTGCTGCGTGCAGATGGGCAGGCGGACAGATCGACAAGCGCAGAATTGTGTATGTAGAGTCAGATTATGTTGTACATAGTGGAATAATATGCATATCTCAATTAAAATGCAAAGAGGGAGCAAGGAAAGTGGTGATGAAAGCAAGCTGCATAAGCAGCAGCACATCACAGACTGTGGCAGACCTGAGCATATGAGCAATGAACATAAAGAGGCAGCTTGGGGCAGATGGAGATTAAAATCAATTTGCTGCCATACGCTGTATACTTGTACTCTCTATCCAGGCTTCAATAAACACCCAATCGTGTCCTAGGAATCATTTGAACTCAAACCAGTCAATATAGGTCAAACAAAAAATTTAATCTGACTTGGAAATGAAATTCCTAACAAGTCCTCGAAGTTGAATAGTGCAAGTTAGTTGAACTTGACTGCAATTCGTGCATGGCCATGTAAGTTGTATAAAACCCTGGAATCATTGATCAATTCATGATGGGGCTGAATGAAACAAATTGTTTCTGATTTTAGAAGATTTTTGGGCTCCATATTCAATGTGCAGCAAGTGGTTTGAACATGGTCAGCCGTTATCCAATTTGTGATTGGTCGATCAAATGATGATCCAAGCCTCTGGCCGATGACAGCCGAACTCAACGTTGGATCTTGCGCTGTTTTCCAGCTGCCGGCGACACCTCAATCCATTCGGCTGTGTTTTAATTCATTAATCTCTGTTGCTGAGAAGAAATTCTCCACTTCAAGTTCTGGCAGATGTTTGGCGGAAGTAACCGCTGCAGAGAGCGGAGGTCACCCAAGTAGCCTCCGCCACCTCCGCCACCTTCGCAACCTCAGGCCACCACTTCATCTGAACACAATTGTCAAGGACTTTCAGCAGTAGCTACTTTTGGGTCTCTGTGGTTTGACCATAAATTCTTCCCTTGCCAGCATCTTGGTGGGTATTTAGCTGAGGTCCCTAAAGAAGATCTATAGAGGTTTCCGCCACCTCCTCCAACCATCTGCGGAGGTCACCGGCACCTCCTCCAACCATCTGCGGAGGTCACCGGCACCTCCTCCAACCATCTGCGGAGGTCGCCGGCACCTCCTCCCATAACTGATATCATCCTGATGTTTAGCCTGCTGGCTCTAATTGCATGGCTTTCATATTCCTTCTGGTAAATAACTTATGCACAGCTCGATTTCATTCATCCCGATCCAAACATTTTTTTTCAACCACTTCCGCGCATTTAATTTTGTTCAAACCTATCGTGAAAGATTAAATATTATTCCTCTATTATCTTCCCCTTACTCACGACTAACCTACACTGTTTTTTTGGAGGAGGTCGCGGAGGTCTGTTTGGACCAGTTCCTGACAACACCTGGGGATGTTTTTCCCTCACAACCCATCGTACAAGGTATATATTATCTCTGTACCATAATCCCCTTGTCCATGATCCACTGAACACTGTAAATATCCCACCCTGTTCAGGGAGGAGGTTCCGCGCGGAACCTCCGATGTGTTTTCTGATGGTCTCTGTGCTTCTTACTTGTCTCAAAACTGGTCGTTTAAGGTAAATATTATCCCTCTATCTAATTCCAGACCTTACAGCTGCTTAAATACCCCACCCTGTTCAGGGAGGATTTTCCGTGCAGAACCTCCGATGTGTTTTCTGACGGTCTCTGTGCTTCTTGCTTGTCTCGAAACTGGTCATTTAAGGTAAATACTATCTGTCTATCCAATTGCCGAACTTACAACTGCCTGAATACCCCGCCCTGATCGGGGAGGAGGTTGCGGAGGTATGTGCCAGCAGTCTGGGAAGGGTCAGTGCTCCGTTTTACTGCCCCGTGCTCTTTACTATAAATGTACAATAAGTAGTTGATATGATCCATACTGTCCACCGGCTACAGTACACCACTCACATACAGAGGCGGAGGTGACGCACCAGCTACCCAATTTGGATAATTTCCAGA